GTACTTCAGAAAGTGCAAGTTGTTAAGAATCCTGTTAAGTCAGCCAATAATTCTCAAAATTGTTATCTAAAGTGTAGTTCAGAGAAGACTGGGATTATTAATAGCTATAATAATTGTATTTTTCTCTTGCATGTGATACAAAAACATCATTAATTCCAAAGTTTCTTACAAAAGTATTCTGTTGAACCCACAATATACCTAATACACAATACAATAACCAGTGGTTCTCAAACTTTTCTTCACCATGGACTCCTTTTAAATACTTTTTGTGGCCATGGACCCACAAGACTTAACACAAGATTTAAATCATAACGTTTTCTCAAGCTTTTGCGGCCTCCTTGTGATGACATCACGCCCCCCAGGGGTCTGTGGATCACAGGTTGAGAACCACTGCTATGCACAACACAGTCAGTTGGAGTCACTTACTTGCTAATCTTATTGGGGAAAGATTAAAATACCAGCAGTGGGTCTTATGAGACAGAGACCAGGTTGAAATTGACAATTGTAGCCATAACCTAAAGTTGGACCAAACATGAGCTTATAGAGAACAAAATTAGAAATCTTGTCAAAAAGACACTTTCAGAAAATAGCTAAGAAAGAATCAAATCATGAAGAGCCAAACAATATTTTTATTTATTAATTTGCTGCCCATTTTGCCTCAAGGCAACTCTTACATATACACCTAATAGAAATGTCATCAGACAAAAAGCTAATCCCATTAACGGTTGATGGATGTTACAGATCAATAAAGCAGGGACTTTGGGTGCTAGAAAGGATCTTGTTCATATCAGCTATTTGAGACATTTGGGGTTTGGACTTAGTGACTTCCTCTAGTCTAGTTAGTGCCTGGTCAGCCTAGATGAGTAGAACGTGAGTGTGTGAGAGTCTGTAGAAGAGTGAGTGTAAAAGCAACAACATATGGTACTTAAAATCAGTAATGCTTTGTTATGGCTTCAAATTTGAGAGATTCCCAGCATTTGGTTGAAAGTAATTTGTGTAAGTCTTTCACCATAGACAATCATGGCTATGCATTCTGCACATTCTGGCCATACCTCTGTGGATCACTTAGCTTGAGGGGTTGCTACAAAATCCACATTCCACACATGCAGCCTCAAGAGGGTGTGTAAATGGAGCAAGTGGTCATAAGATAAATCTGGATTTTTTTTTAAAGTAACCATTGATCCAACTTGAAAAGAGAAACTCTTTTCTATAGAGTTGATTAGCTGGATGTGCATAACATACTAAACCAGAGGTCCCCAACCCCTGGTTCATGGCATGCCAGCAACTGGGCCACACAAACAAAGCCTCATCCGCGGGATGCAGGCAGCATACAAAACTACGCCCCCTCCGCTCCGCAGAAAAACTCTTCTCCACATAACCGGTCCCTGGTGCCTAAGAGATTGGAGACCTCTGTACTAAACTGTAGACCTGGATTGACAAAGCAAAGCTCATATACCATGCTATCTTCCCCTCCCCACACACAAATAAAGTATATTGTGACTTTATGAAATTAACTTCTTCACCTAATATGATAACAATAGCTGGATTTCCATGTGTTGCACCACAAACTATCCAATTCCACTTTAGTCTGTAATTCGCATTTAAGATTGCAAAGATTTATATTGTTTAAGCAATGACAGTTTAAGCAATGGTGTTTGTATAATTTATATGTCATTATGCAAATAATTCACCATGAACTCCCCCTTGATGTTAGTATTTCCAGGCTTATCTCCATGCTGTGTCCAAGGCCTGGTAATCATGTCTAAAGACCCAGACTTCTGGTTGCTGCTGCTTAATGCCTGGCCAGCCTGTGATAAAGCTGGCCTCATCCATAACTTCATTTTGGATGAGCAGGTGGATCTTGTTTGCATTATTGAAACTTACCTGGGCATAGGTGAGGGTGGGTGAGATGTTCCCCTCTTGGAGATGTGCCCAGCCAGGTTTCCTGCACTACATCACTCACGAACACAGAATCAGGGTAGAGATGTGGCAATGATTATCTGACACACCTTATGGCTTTGCAGATTGCCAAATGTCAGCCCTTGTTTATGAAGATGAATTATAGCAACAGCAATAGCAGACTTATATACCACTTCATAGCGCTTTACAGCTCTAAGGGGTTTACAGATTTGTCCCCAACAATCTGAGTCTTCATTTTACCAACCTTGGAAGGAAGGCTGACTCAACCTTGAGCAAGTAAGGATCGAACTCCTGGCAGTGAGCAGTGAATTAGCCTGCAATACTGCATTCCAGCCAATGCGCCACCACGGCTCAGTGAGAAAAGACTGGCTTGTGTACCAGTCTTCCTACTGGATAGTAACCTCTTACCTGAGCTGCTCAAATCAGTGGCTAGATTGGCAGTGGAGTTCTTTCAAAATGTTGTCCCTTCAGTTGGCATGGACTCAAGGGATGCCTTGGGAATTCTTGACCACCACGTGGCAACCAGAGATCTTACCCAAGTCATTTCTGGCTCCTCTCCCTACGGACATCACACATTTGTCACAGCTTTTATGTTGCATCAATAGAACATGATCTAGAGTTGGAGGATGTTACCATCAGTCCCCTGACATGGACAAATCATTCCTCATTGGTTTAGAGTTCCCTGGTGCTGCACTTCCCTGTGGGGAGGCAGGATCTTCTTTGAATAGTGTTCCCTGAGCATCTGATTAAACCCTACTGGATTACAGAGTAAGCTTGAAATTGTTCCTAGGACTCTGGTATATGGTTCATCTGAGATCTTTGTTGCCGCTTGGAAAGAGGAGAACACTTTGGCCTTCAATTAGATGGCACTTATGTACACTCTTATACATGTGGATCCTGGAGGGGCCTTTTGTTTTCAGAGGAGCTCTGGGTGATAAAGCATCATGAAAGATACCTAGAATGCCACTGAAGGAGAAGGAAGAGTGAACTCAACAAAACACAGATAAGAGTCTTTTAAGGATTATCTCTTGGCATTAAGGATAGCAAAACTTTATTTCTCAACCACAGTACGAACTGGAGACATCTTCAAATGAGTAAAATTCACAAGGGAAGAAGAAAACAACACACTACCCTTCCTGGATATCCTCACCAGCAGAGGAAAGTCTACCAAAACATAATGCACACTAACCAAGTGTGCCATTACTATACCAAAATAACAACCTAACTTTCCACCAGAGGGGCTGTGTAAGAATATTATAGGTAGTCCTCGACTTAAAAGTTTGCTTAACGACTGTTTGAAGTTACAACGGCACTGAAAAAAGTGACTTACGACTGTTTTACAACACTTATGACCAGCGCAGCATCCCCATGGTCACGGGATTTAATTTTGGATGCTAGGGAGCTGACTCACGTTTATGACGGTTGTAGTGTCCCAAGTCATGTGATCTCCTTTTGCAACCTTCTGACAAGCAAAGTCAATGGGGAAGTCAGATTCACTTAACAACCAGGTTACTCACTTATGAACTGGAGTGATTCACTTAACAGCTGTGGCAAGAAAGGTCACAAAAGGAGGTAAAACTCACTTAACAAATGTCTCACTTAACAACAGAAAATTTGGGCTCAATTTTGGTCATAAGTCAAGGACTACCTGTATTTCCCCATCAAATGATTTCGTTTCAGCGGTCTTTAACCAAAGACGATCCTGCAAAAGTGTGCCTTTTTTTGTCCTGCCCTTGGAATGATTGGCACGTGAGAAGTGGAAATGCTAGTAGGGTGGGCTTTGAAGACAAGAAGCAGCTGGTGGAGGCGTTCACACTCTCACTTTCTTCCAAGTTGCCAAAATGGCCCAGCCCATCTCTTTAGTGCGATTGGTCTCAAGACTCATTCCTGACCAAGACTTTAAATCAGGCTATTTAATTTCTAATCAAGTATAGATGCAAAACCACCCATGGGGGTTATACATTTAAGCACTGCTGTTTTATGCTGGCAGCATGTTCGTGCACATTGTGTATATTTGTGCATTGTTTAGATGCTGCTTTAGGCAATGACACCTTAAATGCTATTCCGACAAAGGGATTTATTTCAAAACAGAAATGAACTGTCTACTAGCTTCTGCTGACATTAAACATTAAGTTGTATTGGATGACAGAAAAATGGAAGCTCCCTAAGAGCAGAAGCTGAAGAGGGCTGTGGTTAAACAAGGGCATTAAAATTAGGCTATGCCTGATCCCTGCCATCAAAGATCTAGAACAGTTAGAACAATTAACCAGTGGAACAACCTGCCTCCAGAAGCGGTGAATGCTCCAACACTGGAAGTTTTTAAGACTGGACAGTCTATTGTCTGAAATGGTATAGGGTTTCCTGCCTGAAAAGGGGGTTGGACTAGATGACCTCCAAAGTCCCTTCCAATTTTATATTATATTATATTATATTATTATTATTATGGATCATCGCACAGTCAGCCAGATGTTCAGACTGGATTTGGCATTTTGTCTACCTATTGAGTCCTTACCCAGGACCTGGGATAGGCAGATGTGGATGTTTGATGGTATTACAGATATCGTCGCAGGATGGAAGCAGTTCCTAGTAAGGCCGCCTTTTGCAATTGACTAATAGCGAATTTGTGTGTTGTTGTTGTTATTATTACTACTACTACTACTACTATTATTATTATTATTATTATTATTATTATCTCTTGTTGCTGAGCCAATAGCGTTTTTGAGCAGATGGGTCCATTTACACACATACAATTTGGTTTAACCAATAGGTAGCCAATAAACAAAAAGAACAGAACATCATCTTCTGAAGCCAACACCCAGACAAATAGGGATTAATATCAGACAAACTATCAAGAAGAAAACAATATCCCAATCAAATATCAAGGAGAAAATCCACACCCCACCAGCAGTGACAGGGCAAACTGCTGTATATAAACAGGAAGCAAATCCCACATTTACTCACACAGAGGTTATACCTAGCTGTATAATGGGGCACACATATCACAAGCCAGCTAGTTACTGTAAATGCCAGGAAACAACCAAGCAGGAGAACATCAATGATTCCACAATTCAACTCTGAGCCAATTTTTCTAATGTCATAAAAAGAAATCTGTCTTCTTTATTATGTTACTTTTATACTGAATACAGCAAATAAAATTCATTGATGCAGATGAAAGAAACCGGTATTCACATCTGTCTTACATGGTTAAGATTCAATTAACAGAAGTTTGCTATCTGAGAGGACTCCAATGTTTAATAGATTAAATCAATTGCTGCCGCGACACCATTTTATATATGACCAACATAAGAACTTCTCTTGATGAACAAATGCAGGATAAATGAAGGTAAACAGAAGAGGAGGAAAATCAAGTCTCAAATATTTTTCGATATCCATAGCCTCCAATGAAGAACAGCCTGGGGAAAAAAAATCCTTTGTCTCACAAAAAAAAAAAAAAAAAAAAAGCACACATGAATTATTTGCTTGGATGGATTACTGTATTACTATTATTTGCAGGGAGGTAAGAAACATTATTTGGAAACTTGGGAAAACAAAAACAAGTTTTATCTGCACACGCGGATGCTGTTTTATTGATGACAAATCACATCAATACTTTCTGTTGTTTTCATTCATACTCCCAATTGATCCTCAGATTCGATGGAAGCTCTTGCATGCCCAATTCATCTAACTTTGAAATGTCTTTTACAGGTGTACTGTAGAAAGCCAGGACATCTTCAACACTCTTCATTTGATGGAGCTGGTTATTGGGGACTGTGTGGTCCAGATCTGCTGCCATTTGTGCCAACAGTTGATACTTTAAACTGATGTCTGCTAGGGATGTCCTCTGCCAGTCACTCGAAACTGAGGACCCCCAAATCTCTCTCACACGAGATTCTAGATGATTCTGGAGATATTCAGGAGGAAGGTATTTTTTACTTCGTGGAGGAGGGCAAACATTTTTCACAGGTTCCACTACTATTGGCTGATCTTGTTTCCTGTTGAAATAAATTAGAAGAGGATTTTTAAACCAACCTGGTGTCACCTCCTTCATATTAAAAGACTTAACATTTATTATAATTTATGTCCTTTATTCCAAGACAATCATTTCCAAAAAGGTTTGTGAGCTGTAGAAATATTTGTAAATCCAAACATATTACTTAAATCTAAACAAATGAAGACATTTATCAATTCCTTCGCGTAAAGTCGTGAGTAGTAATGGCCCTCTGGGACAGAAATAAGTTGTGTTGAATTTTGTTGCAAGTCTTCTTGGTTCTGTCCCACAGATCAGTTGGTTAAAAAAGCCTTGATATCACCTAATCTTACTGGAATTACTAAAACTGCTGCATATGTAGGCATAAATCTAAAATCAGAATCTTTTCCCTCAAAATCTAATACTTCAGAGACACAACTCATATTTATTAATACTAATCTGCCCAACTACTTCTTTGCTCAGAGTTTTCTGAAGAAATAAAATACTTGAACCCAAAATTCCAAATCACCAAGGCCTCTGAGCTCAAGTACTTCTCCATCATAGTTTGCTTAGGTATTTGCTGAGGTTAGTGCATGAACTGTCTTAAGGTAGCACTTTATTTTTAAATGGAAACTAGGAAGGGACTAACCATAAAACCTAGCTAATGCATACCTCCAATTTATTGTTCTGCTTATCTCACCATAAGCAGAAAATCTAATCTGTATTATGATCAGCATTTGACATCATTACTGGCCAGCATTTATTATACAGCCATATAAAGGCTGTTTGCACCCTCCTTCACTGGGTGGTACTTATATTTTGTCCCCAGCACTATTCAAATAAGTTAGATTCAGACTGTGTGGTCTCCCCTAGTACACTGGGTGATGGGGAATATTCCTCCTTTATTTCCAAAAAGCTAAAAGTTGCCAGTGATAAAGAATCTAATCAACCAGCAGGAAAATGTGGAACTGTAAATCAGGTTTTTGAAAATTAACACCCTGGGAAAAGTGCTATTAATCATTGCAACTTCAGAAGTAGGAAAACATAATATGAAAGACTTACGTTTAAAGGGCCTGACATTCAACACACAAACCAAAAGACCCAGCAACCCAGAAGAAAAAATGAGTCATCTATAACGTACAGTGTAAGAACTGCAACAACCACTAGGTAGGACAAACAAGCAGAACTCTGGCAGAATGCATCCATGAACACCAACTGTCAGTCAAAAGGTATGACAAAAATTATTTAATTTCACAACATATAGATTTAACCATAGTTTCAATTGGGAAAATGTGACAATCCTAGACCAGGCTAAATCCAAAAATGCCAGGGAATTTCTAGAAGCTGGCCCTCTGACAAATCAGCCATCAACAGACAAGTGGACAACATCTACCTTATAGGTTAATACATATGCCTAATATGCAAGTGGCTTGGTTTTGAATCTCAGAAGGGTATGGCTAGTTGATAAGAGCTAAATAGCTTGCAATAACTATACTACTCTCCCTTTAATTCTTTGTCAGTAAATTTAAATGTTAAATTTAAATTTAGTCCACCTTATAGATTATGCAAAAGAGATGATCAACAAGCCCAAAAGAGAAGTTTCCAACCCCTCTTCACCAGTAATCAGCACTCAGATCAGCATAGATTAACTCCAAGGTCAAACCAACAATCAAGTAAGCAATACCCCAATCAAGAAACTGCCAAAGAGCCAACCTAAGGCTGCCCCCACCCACCCAGACACAGAATACAAATCGACAGCAAACGGCATTCCTTACTGACAGTGATGTTACCTAGTTAGGTAATGAAACGTCTGAAAGAGAACAAGCAAGCCCAAAGAGAGCACCAAGGACCCCTCATTCAACACACAAACGGAGGCTCTCTAGGTAAAAGCTGTAAAATAATAAAAAAAACCCTAACATTTTGCGTTCCAAGGAATCTCTCCCCCAAATAACTTGGTTTGCCAACATCTGGGCGATCCTAAGACGGCAGCCCAGAATCTCTTTTTGCTGCCATCTAGTGGCATTTGAATTTTAGCACCTCAATTCTGTTAACCATTCCCCGCTGTCTTACTCCACCTTCCGAACTTATCCCCCATGTTATGTGCCCATCCCAATATGAGGAGCCTCTTTCCATGATTGTTGCATGGAAAGAGGCTCAATCGGACACTTACTTCTCTCCTTCCCAGAAATTCCTGCGTCCGGGCACCCCCAAACTTAGCCGGTGTCTCCACACTTTCAGCAGCGCGCCGGAAGACGCCATCTTGCCGCCGCAAAGAAAGCGCCACCCCTCGAAGGACACGCAGAGCACGAAAGCCCTTCCGTAGTCTTTGGCATTGTGGGATATGTAGTTTGTTCCTTTTCATAGAGACATAATATAATAGAAGTAACTGGGCGTGATTAGTGCTGCCTTAATGCGAAGTCGCTGTTGTTCAGAAAAATAAAACGTGGGGCTTTGCTGCGGCTGGTTGTCTAGTTCCTGTTGCCGTAGCGGTCGGATCATGCTCTGATTTTTTTTCGGCCCTGGAAAAGGTGCGGAAAACAAATTAGAGAGCGAAACGAACCGCTTGTTGCAGCTTTTATTGGCAGAGCGCCAACATCAGTTTAAATTGAACAGGTTGTAATTGCATCGTGACTTTCTTGCAGCTCTCCGCCCTAGAGAAGTGAACATCGCGGGATCTAGCCGGGCAGAAAGTGATTTCCATTCTCTTTGATTGAGATGTACACAGACAGTCCTCGACTTACAACAGTTTGCTTAGTGACCATTCAAAGTTACAACGGCACTGAAAAAAGTGACTTATGACCTTATTTCAGAGTTATGACCTTAATAGCATTCACGTGATCAAAATTCACTTGCTTGACAACTGGTTCATATTTATGACCATTGCATATGACCATGTGATCACTTTTTGCAACCGTCTGACAAAGTCAATGAGAAAGCCAGATTCACTTAACAACCAGGTTAGTAACTTATCAACTGCAGTGATTCACTTAACAATTGTGGCAAGAAAAGTCACAAAAGGAGGCAAAACTCAATTAACAAATGTCTCACTTAACAACAGAAAATTTGGGGTCAATTTTGATCATAAGTCAAAGACTACCTGTATTTCCCCATCAAATGATTTCATTTCAGCGGTCTTTAGCCAAAGACGATCCTGCAAAAGTGTGCCTTTTTTGTCCTGTCCTTGGAATGATTGGCACGTGAGAAGTGGAAATGCTAGTAGGGTGGGCTTTGAAGATAAGAAGCAGCTGCTGGCTAATAAGAGGCATTGTTGACACTCTCACTTTCTTCCAAGTTGTCAAAATGGCCCAGCCCATCTCTTTAGTGCGGTTGGTCTCAAGACTCATTCCTGACCAAGACTTTAAATCAGGCTATTTAATTTCTAGTCAAGTATAGGTGCAAAACCACCCATGGGTTTATATATTTAAGCACTGCTGTTTTATGCTGGCAGCATGTTCATGCACATTGTGTATATTTGTGCATTGTTTAGATGCTGCTTTAGGCATTGACACCTTAAATTCTATTCCCACAAAGGGATTTATTTCAAAACAGAAATGAGCTGTCTACTAGCTTCTGCTGACATTAAACATCAAATTGTATTGGATGACAGAAAAATGGAAGCCCCCTAAGAGCAGAAGCTGAAGAGGGCTGTGATTAAACAAGGGCATTGAAATTAGGCTATGCCTGAAATCTGCCACCAAAGATCTCTTGTTGCTTTGGGCCAATAGCAGGTCCACTTATACACATACAATCTGGTTCAGCCAGTAGGTAGTTTGGGCCAAATTATTTAAAGCAGGATTTCCCTGGGTGATGACTTTTCTATGCAATGTGTTTATTTTAAGTACTTAAAGAAATAGTTCAGTCCTTGTACTTAATAGTACAGGTTCTAGGTCAGACATGTCAAACTCGCTACGTCATGTGATGTCGTGCAACGTATCAAGAGCTTTTTTGCCATTGCCGGCAATGGGGTGGGCATGGCTTTGGTATGATGAAACTGGCCCGTGGGCCGGCAGTTTGACACCGGTGTATTGTTTCAAATATAAAATCTCTTCCCCCCCCTCCCCTCTCTCTACAGGAACCCATCTGAAAGGGTCTTCAGGGAGACTTTCAAACCTGATGTGTGTTGGGCTCCCCATTCCATAAACCAGCTATGCCTGCCATAGCAGAATCTGCTCAGCTGGTTTAGTCTGGCAGATTTCGCATGTTCCAATTCCATCAAGTAAACAGTCATCTATTGGGAGCCCAGAAGTGCATTTTCTTTGTAGCAGCTTTTTGGAATGAGGTTTCCCCTGAGATTTGAACAACTTACTGGTATCTTGAAAGACCCCATTTTAAATCAATCTCAAACACATTAGTGAAACACTGATTATGTTAAACTGTTATATATAGTCACTGGAATGCCACACGAAAAAGCAAAAATTCAGTGGGACCAGAAATGAATAACAGATATAGACTTGGCCGAAGTTTCACAGGCATTTAATCTTTTCACAGTGGTAAGACATTTGCTCAGAGTTTATAGACTGGAAAGGGCACTCTGTTTCCTCTTTCTTGGTGTTCTTTATGTGTTTCTCTGCACATGGGCATTCACATTTCTCCCCTTGGATAATAATAGGAAAAAGAGGGAGTCCTAAAAAGGCAGTGGTCCATCTTGCCCAGTGCAATGCTTTATGAACTAGTGTGTCAATAAAGAAGAATATTTAGCTCAGGGTTGAAATGAGGAGTCCTTGGTGCTCTCTGAGGTTGGTTGTATTGGTTGTTAACACTAGTATGTGTAACTGGGACTAAACAGTGATTGGGTGGCTGCTCCACTGCCATTTTCAGATGTAACATACTGGCCTTTGCAAGCTAAGCCATTAATCTGAAAGAGAAAAAGGAAAGATACAGGTGGTTAGTGTTAACAAAACAAAGAATGGAAAAAAATCAGTTAATCTAAGCAAAATTTATGCACCTCTCCACCAGTAATCAGCACTCAGATCAGCATAAATAAACTCAAGGGTTAACTTCAGACCAACAATCAAGTAAGCAATACTCCAATCAAGAAACTGCCAAAGAGCCATTAATAAACAGCCTAACCAAAGAATCCCTAAGACCGCCCACACCCACAAAGACAGATAAGGCACCAGAATATAAATTGAAGCAAATTACACTCCTTACTAGCACTGACGTTACCTAGTTAGGTAATGAAACATCTGCAAGAAAACAAGCAAGCTCAGAGAGCACCCTTCAAACATATGTTTCTAAGCATGGTTTTATTCCTCAGGTCTTTGTTACAGCACTGTATTTAACTATACTGAATAATTTCTAAAAGAAGTTCAGCTGTCAATTTGGCTGGTGGAAAAATACACCTGTTCATAGGCTATATTTATACCAACTATGATATAATTATATAAACAATGTAATTTTATATCATATGAAATATGAAAATAGCATTAAATTTGAAATATTTTAATGTTATTGTAATAATCATTTGTAGATAAGAGCACAAATGCGTTAGCTATAGAGTCAATCATGATGGGAGAAAATCTTCACACCTGTGTCAATTTCACTCTAATGATGCATTCATAGAAGTCTTCTCCTTCTTCTCAATTTCTTTATATACATTTCAAGGCAGTGAACGTACCTAATATTTCTCTCTCCTGATTTCCCCACAACAACCCTGTGAGGTGGGTTGGACTGAGAGAGTGTCACTAGCTCAAAGTCAGCCAGGTGGTTTTTATACCTAAGGTGGGACTTGAACTGACTGTCTCCTGGCTTCTGTGCCAGCCTCTTAACCACTATACCAGGGGTAGGCAACCTTGGCTCTTTTATGACTCGTGGACTTCAACTCCCAGAATTCCTGAGCCAGCCAAGCTGCACTATACCAAACTATCCCTTTTATAGTGCAACTACTATGACTTGTTTCCAAAATTTGCATGGCAAGATTCCATATCACCTTGAGTTTGGTTTACCTCAGGTTTACCTCATTTAGCTTGGGTTTACTCACTTAACAACACATTTAGATTTTTACATAATAAACCAGGAAAGATGATCTTTTTTGCCCTTGGGAAACACTTTACAAACAATTATAATTATGGGCACATTTTATAATTATGCCTTCCAAAAGGTGCATCCAGTGGTATGGTGACATTACCAGGTAGCTGAATCCTTTAAAAAAGAAAGAAAGAAATTTGAGGGAAGATGCATCCATCCCTGTTCTGTTAGGAGAAAAAATGCTAGAAATGGCTTGCCTGAAAGCAATAATATTTCAATTGGAAACTTATACTGATTATGTTGCTCTTCCTTTAATTTTGGTACCTTTGAGATTCTGATTTTTTTTAAGGATACTGCCTTACCTTTGCCCGTTTCATGAAGGCCTCTTGGGAAGCCTTCTTATTTGCAGGCTTGCCAGACCAAGCAGCCAGAGCTGATGCTTGTAGAGCTCGCCCATATGAGAAAGTCAGCTTCCAGGGTTTGGGCAGTGGGCACAGATTGATAGCATTGAGGTTAATGGATGCCTCCTCTTCACTTTGGCCCCCAGAAAGGAAGCAGATTCCTGCAGTTTGAATGAGATTACAAGATACTGATGGCTCAAATTCCTAAATGCTAAAGTAACTGTGCTGGATTAATCGTGATGTTTTATATGATGACTGGGATAAGAAATCAAGAATTTAAAGAATCAAAAAAAAAATTAAAAGAATAAAAAGACCGCTAATTCAAACTACACAATATTGTAAACATTCCATTTCAACAGAGGCTACATTTAAACATAATCAAACCCAGCAAGATATAAAATTAGGATGGGTAAATTCTGGAGCTGCATCTTACAAACATTTAAACGTGGACTGAAATGTTCAGGCTTATTCAAAAAGTAATTACAAAGGAAGACAGGAACTCTTCTACTGAGATGTAATAAAGATGTAATAAACATGGACTTAAGATGGGTCTTTAGGCCACATTTTGTAGGGAGTCTTTCAAATAATCTGATCCTAAGCCATTTAGTGCTTTAAAAATTAATTTAAAATGAAACTGGACTATTTCACATACCTAAGGAAGGGAGTGAACTCCAGTGAGGTACCATGGAAGATAGGAGTGACAGTAGGAGCTACCCAGTCACTCCCTGAAAAAATGAGATGAAACCAAGGTGTGAAGACCTAGAAGACTTCCACCATACAGACTGAGCAGGCTGAAGATAGGCACACAACTTGCAAGTGTGAATGCAAAAAGGTTTTGTGGGCCTAAAATCAATTCTTACCATGGATAGAATGTTCACATAAAAACACCACAGATTTTCCCTTCACAAACTAAGAAATATTGATTCAGGATGCCCAAATTAGCTTTAAAGCACCCTTAATTAGATAGAAAAACCTGAAATGAAATCATGACTGAGGAGACTTCTGTTACTCAAATAACAGGGTCTGAAGAAGTACCTGGAACAGCTGCTGGGACTGTCCGAAGGAGAGCTGTAACTGTTGCCATGGCCACATCTTGTGGGGTATATTTCTTGGGACAAGCCTGTCCAGCTGTCACCATGTTGGGCTTTAGCAGTGTTCCTTCCAAATAAACATGGTGGTCATTCAAGGCCTTATAAACAGCAGCCAGCACCTGGATACAAAGAAAAGTGGTGGTAGAAATGTTTATAACATGCTTACACAGCCCCACTTCTTTTATTGTGGTAACTCTTAGATAAGTGTGCGTTTATGCTCAAACAAGATGGTTCAACAACAGCCTTGCTGAAGAAGCTTCCTTTAGTATCGCCATGGTTATTCAAGATTGCTGTCCTCTCTGAGTCTGGTACTTTCCTTCTGTACTGGACTACAGTCTCTACCATTCAATAACACTCACATGGACTTCAAATGATAGGAATGCAACATATTGTCACTGATTACACTTTGCTTACACGGGGGTACTCAAACTTGGCCCTTTTATGACTTGTGGATTTCAATGCCCAGAATTTCTCAGCCAGGCACGCTGGCTGAGGAATTCTGGGTGTTGAAGTCCACAAGTCATAAAAGGGCCAAGTTTGAAGGCTCCTGGTTTACATCTATTCAGGTCCTCTAGATGTCAAGCTGCAATTTCCTTCAGCCTTAGCTATTATGGTCCAGGACAAGAAATGTTGGGAGGTGTGGCTCAGAAACATACTCTTGACTTATGTTTTCAGCAGGGATCTCCAAAGTTGGTAATTTTAAGACTTGTGGACCTCAACTCCCAGAATTCCCCACCTCAGCATGTCTGGTTGAGGAATTCTGGGAGTTGAAGTCCACAAGGCTTAAAGTTGTCAAATGGAGAAAATAAATGTTCATCTTTATCCATTTCACTTCAAAAACCATTAGCCCAAGATTTCAAAACTGGCATTTATTGTCATGTGTGCTATGTATTTTTTTCTAATAAAATTAAAAGTCTGCAAAAACCACTATTTGTACCCAGTATATCTTAGGTGGTTTTCCTTTTTTTTTTTTTTTTAACGATACAACTTAGCAGTGAAATGAATATTATGAGAGAGACAAAACAGTTTGGACTTGAAGATCTTGAAAATTAGAAATACATTTTAAGAGAGCGAACTCTGATAACTAGGAGATGAGGCCACTGTATCCAGGGGAATTTAATTTTAGACTGAAAAGTGAGTCAGACTCTTTATAATAATAACAATCCCTTACCTTTTCAGTCACATACTGACATCGCTGGAGGTCATGGTCTCCATCAGGTAGGATTTCAGGTTCCACAATAGGAACTAAGCCATGCTGGTATTTAAACAGAGAGAAGATTTAATTGAAATCCAGATGGGCTGTACCTGAGCTTAGCCAGCAAAAAACTAATAATACTCATTATCAAGCCCCTGGACAAACTATTCCAAACACCCAAATATTTGTGGAGATCATACTATACCTGCTGGCAGATACTAGCATAGCGTGCCAATGTGTTAGCATTCTCCTGGATGGCAAGAGTAGAAGGAGTTGCATCTGTAATTTTCAGCACTGCACGCCACTTGCCAAAATCTGCTCCATCTTTCTTATACTGGGCACAGCGCTCAGCAAGCCCATCCAGACCTGAAGGCAAATATAGAAGTCTTTTAGCAGTTGGGTTTTTCCAATGTGAGAAAATCAGTCCATGAGATTAGTTTATGGTTCCATTTGTCATGAAAATCCAATACTGTATATTGGTTTCACTGAAATTTTTTTGGTAGAGTTAACTATGGATAAGAATGCTATGTAAACAGTACCACTGTCTTCTAGAAGCTTGGAATACCAGACAGAAAACTTGAATTGTTTTGTAGTTTTTAGGAAGCTTTAGACAAGAATTCTCTTTTTTTCCACACAAATCTTTGTAAGCACTGCCCCTGGGGCAGGTGAAAATAATTACTTTTGCTGCTTTAAGCAAATAATTGTATTCCTATCTGAACATAAATTCTGCTTTTTGGATTCCGCATTTCTTGAGTTTTCAGGACTAAAACACAGTCCAGGGTTCCATTCCTCCCAATGTTAATTTGTTTTTGTTTTTAAGTGTTTCCCCTCAACTTAAAAGCACTGTGTTCTTTTTCCTTGCTCATTAACCCTTTTATCTAACATTCAAGCTAATGTTTCTGAACATTCTATGACATGAAAGAAAGCTTACCTTGAATGCTGGTTTCATTGTTAGTTCCTGCCAATGGAGCCACACCTTTATCCAGCTGTGGATAATTAATACAGCATTAAATGCACATAGGTTACAAAATGGACTAAAGCACAGATCACTTAAACACAGGCACTACCAATAGATGTTGGATTTATGGGATCACCTTCACCCTGATGATTTACCACACATAAACTCTGTGTAACTCAACCAAAACACACACACCCCTTTATTTTGTGCTGTCTTTGCTTTTGTGTGGCCTGCAATCCATACTACAATAGAAGTGCAGATAAAAGCTGGGTACTTTTACTTTTCTGCAGCAACTAACTCTAGAAAAGGATGTCTGTGTAGATTCTCAGTCATCCAGGTCATAGTTGCTTCAAAGGTATTTTTTTTCAAAAGGCAACTGGACTGGTTTTTTTTCTTTGAGGAAGAAGAAAAAGAAAATGTTTCGCTTCTCATCCAAGAAGCTTCATCAGCTCTGATGGTGGGGATCAGTTCTGATCCTTCCATCCCCCCACCATCAGAACTGATGAAGCTTCTTGGATGAGAAGCGAAAACATTTTCTTTTTCTTCTTCCTCAAAGAAAAAAAACCAGTCCAGTTGCTTTTTGAAAAAAGCACCTTTGAGACATCTAGGAAAGGATTTTGAAACGATTTACCTTGATTCCAACCACTATGCCCTTGTCCTTGATGACAGCTGGGAAGAGTTTTCCAGTGTTGTCCTTCTGATAGAGAGTCTCGTGGAAGAAAATAACTCCCCCAATCTGTTGATTGATGGTTGGGTCAGAAGAGAAGAGAATATCACGGAACTGACGGCGATTTTCTTCTGTATTCTCCACGTTGATACGTTGGAGCCTGTTACCCATTGTCCCTATGGAGAAGGGAAACCACTAAAAGTCAGGAACTTTATGTTGGTGAATTTTATCTATAACCTATTTGTAACAAGTTTTAAAAGCTCTGCAAAAGAAGATTATAGGGTGTGCATTCATGAATAACATGCAATGATTTGTAAAATTCCATCGTCTAAAGCAGGGGTCTTCAAACTTGGACCCTTTATGACTTGTGGACTTCAACTCCCAGAATTCCTCAGCCAGGCATGCCTGGCTGAGGAATTCTGGGAGTTGAAGTCCACAAGTCATAAAAGGGCCAGGTTTGAAGACCCCTGGTCTAAAGTGTGCCTAGTAATATCGCCCTTTGTGGAGTATACTCCTTCAGATTACAGGCACAGAATTTAATATTCACATTTCACATCGTGTGAAAATATTCTTGATAGTTATAGAAAATTGGCTAATCTTCACTCTCCTCTAGGATTAGAGGAAATTGGGATTATACTAGCAATTTTTGATTAGAAAATGTATTTTTGCTATCCTTGGCCTGCAGCCTGAAAGTGTGCAGAGTAGGAAAAGCAGAAGGAGATTAGAAAAGATTTTGAAATTGATTTCCAAATGTCTTCCCTTGGCTTGTCTAAGCAACTCTGAAAATGAGCCTCATTCATCATTTATCAATGGAGCCACTAAGAGTTGCGTTGCTTGAGCAGGGTCCGTAAGATTATCTGGGACACTACACATCCTCTTCATGATCTGTTTCCCTTGTTACCTTCTGGGAGGAGGCTTCATGGTATCCATCGCAGAACATCCAGATTCAGCCATAGTTTCATTCCATACAGCATTAACCTTGTGAACTCTCAAGTTTCCTCCTTCCATTATACATTCAAGATGGACAGTATTTAATATTTATTTGCTATGTATATGTAGGGGTATGGATCTATACATATGTTTAGGTGTGCGTCACGTATGTGTTTCACTTTGAGAGCGGGCAACTAAATTTCATTTTTGATGTGTGCTGTTGTGCCCATAGTAAAAAAAAATGACAACAAAGGTTACCTATCTTATCTTATCTTGTACTGAAAGGAATGAATCTAACTTTTCAGCCTCAATAGAAAAGAACCAAAAGGATTGCTTGATGACACTTACCTACAGATTCATCTGCAGCTAGGATCCCTTTGCCAGTAGCAACAATCCGCTGAGCTGTGTCAGAGAGTGCCTTTTTCTGCTCCGGAGAGAGTGCTGGAAACTGGTGGGTCATGGTGGCTGGAAGAAAAGATCACTCCAAACTTTAAGATAAATTTATTTGGATATCTGAATAATCTTAATTTAGCAACAGCAGCATCATTGTCATGGCATAAGACATTTGTGTATTTAAATGTAACAGGAAGAGGACACATTCTCACCCACATTGAGGTTTTCAGTCATTATATATCAGTAAAACAACAAAACTCAGTAAATAGTGGATTAAAAAAAATGTCTTCAGCTTCAAAGGGCTCTGGATTTTGGTTGGGATTCAGACAGGAACCTGGTACAGAGATGTCAGCGGGCACATTTATGGTGATCTCTAGAGGAATCAGAAGTATCCCAGTTCTTGGTATCTTGGCAGTTTTCAATACAATTGATGTCGATGTTTTTTCTGGATCCTCTTTGGGGATGAAGAATAAGAGGCACTGTATTGTGGTGGTTTTCCTCTTTCCTTATAATTGATCCCAGTCAGTGTTGATGGGAGGAGACTATGAACCTGAGTTCCTTGATATATGGGGTGTCACAGGACCTGGCACCCTTCCTTCTCTTTTTAATATCTGGGTGAGGTGATCTGTCTTTTTGAGGTCAGGTATGACCACTAATCTGATGATATATCTAAGCCAAGGCTGACTAAGTGGTATGATCAAGGTCTTATCTCAGTATTTGGAGGCTGTGAAGGTCTGGATGGTAAGGAACAGACTCAGATTCAACCCTGGCACCCTGCCAAATGGAATGATATTGGAGTCAGAGGAAGGCTCTGAGGAGCTCCAAGACTTACAGTCAGATGATGAGCCTGGCCCCTCTACTTGGGCTCAGGCTGAGACACAGCTGTGCTGGGCACCTGAGTTGGACAGTGATGAAAAACAGTTGGAAAAAATCCAGGATGCACGAAAGCACAGGCAAGAGAAGCGAGTAGGACAGAGGAATGCAATGGGATGACTCCAAAGGCAAAGGAGAAGACATTAGGAAGCCACACCTTGGCTGAATTATAAAAGGGAAGGTGTGGAAGGTGCTGGTTGCCAAAGGCAACCATTTGTGTTGAGGATTGAGTTTCTATGGACTGTGTTTGTTTGCCTTGGACTCTGACTCAGGTCTGTGAGAATAAAAAGGGTTGGCTTTTTCTTGCAGTTCCTTCCTGTTTCTTGGAAGAAGGGCTTCTCCTTGTGAGCATAACAAGGACTCACATAGGATGGGACAGAAAAGTTATGTCCAACAAGATTGCTATCCTAAAAGAGCTGTGGTTAGAATGTAGTATGGGAGGCTGACTGTGCCCATAGCCAGGAGCTTGATCCTGACCGGCTGAAGGTTGACTTAGCCTTCCATCCTTCCAAGGTTGGTAAAATGAGGACTCGGATTGTTGGGGGAAATATGCTGACTCTGTAAACCGCTTAGAGAGGGCTGTAAAGCACTATGAAGCAGTATATAAGTCTAAGTGCTGTTGCTAAGTGCTAAGATCCTTTTCTACTACAGAGAATCAGATTGCTTGTTTCCAAATAACATTGCAATCTTCTAACAGAGCATTCTGTGTTTTTTTATTAACCAGCCCTTTGGCTAATTAACCTCTGCTTCCTCAGTATTTGCCTAAATACATGTCAGAGATTCTTGTAGGAGGAGAACCATATTACTTTATCATAGCCCAAAACAGGAATAGTCAGGACTCATAGAATATATATACAGTAGGTTGGAAAAACTCCTACCTAAACTCTTGAACTTTTGCTTTTCTGGGAGAGAGCTTTTAATTCTTTCCTGGGTGTTTATGTGTAGCTCAGAGATTTTCAGGTATGTAGATGTAGGAATAATTTTTAAAGTGCATGTAGAAAAGAAAGCAGGTATGCCGCCAGTTAATCATTAAAGCAGGCTGTGAATTGTCTTGTTTCAGAATCTGCTAAGAGAAGAGCTAAGTGATTATATTATCTGCTGTTGGCCATTATGAATGACATGCAAGACTGCATGTCTATGGAGATTCTCAGTCATCCTGATCATGGTTGTCCCAAAGATGCTTTTTCAAAAGGCAACTGGGCTTTGTTTTTCCTTAAAGACATTTTGCTTCTCATCCAAGAAGCTTCTTAAGTTCAGTCAGCCTCATCCAAGAAGCTTCTTCAATCAGAAATGAAGAAGCTTCTTGGATGAGAAGTGAAATGTCTCAAGGAAAAACAAAGGAAGTCCAGTTGCCTTTTGAAAAAGCACTTTTGGGACATTCAAGATTGTAGCGATTATTTTCTTTCACTTGGATTATGGCTGTACTTGGTGTGTGTTTGTGTGTGTGTGTGTGTGTGTGTGTGTATGTGTGTAACACTACCACTTTTTATTGAATATTATTTCCTGGAGTAACAGAGCATCCAAAACCACAGGTAATCACAAAATACGATCCTAAGTAAAATTGTACAAAGCTTGTCCATCTGAGAAAATGAATGCCTGTCTAAATAAGATGTTTATCTCTTAACCTCTTTGGTATGAAAAAGACACAAAAATGCATCTTTTAAAACAGTCTTTTAACCATTTTAATGATTATATGTAATTGTTTTTAATATTACAGGGTTGAGTTTTGGTTTTTGAGGTTTTAATGCAAATTGCTGAGAGATCTTTAGAAATGTCAGTATAATAAGTAATTGCCTGGAATCATTTGAAATTGGCAGGATATAACTTGCTGTAACAAGTCACGTGTGTGTGTGTGGGGGTGCAACTATATATCAACTAACTAAATGTAAAAAAGAGGGGGGGAAACATATTTTCACTTGCAAAGGGACGTTAAACTTATTGCAGTTTTACCCTATTTCCCTTTTTTCCCCATCACCAATCAATAGATTTTGGCAGCCTGAACTTGAATGGTTCTGGAGGCAATTTTTAAAATGGAAATTCAGGGTTATATTATGTGGCTTAAATTTTAGCATATCTGGGTCATGCCGCATTGAAAAAAAAAATTAAAAGTTTCTATTTTTTTTAAAAAAGCACAAGTTATAATAAAATAACAGACTTTGGCTTCTAGGAAAAATTGTCCACTCCCACCCCACCCACCCCCAAGCTTTAAAGGCTAGCAATATGGAAGAACATAACTGTGCTGAATGAGCCCATTTGTCATACAAATAAATTGTATTTCCCAAGCCTAAAAGTTTCGGAATGAGAAAACAGTATTGCAGCACTATAAAAAATGTGGTGGCATTTAAGATATATCAGGAGCATGAAAAGTAAAAAAGGCTGTTTGTCTAATCAAGTTCCTGGCAGAGAGACAATAGGATCTGGGCAGGAACGGTCAACCTACCTGGAATATAAGCCTTTTTTTTCTCTTTCTTTTTTTTTAGCGCTACGGAAGATTGGGGGGTGGAAGAAAGCCTTCCCCTTTAGAAATAGCACAAAGGTTGTCTTCTGTTAATGTTACAACAGATGACAGACCAAAGGGCAAGAATTGAGGTCAGAAGAGGGTTAGTGGGTAGTGCCTTCCAGCTAGGTTGCTGCAATGTGGACTGATGTATATGTGTGTGTACTTTGGAGGGAGGGAGACAGATGTGCAGTTTGCAAAGTCTGTTGCATGTCTTTTAGGACGTGTGTGTCCAACTTTTGTTCCTAGGTAAAAGACAGCTGATGTTTAGTTTTGCTAAGACTAAACCCTGGTTGCATGGAGAATAATTAACTACTGAATATGGCCATTACATGGATTAGAATCATCATTCTTTTCAATTGCTAGACCCAAAAGATATGGACTTTAGCAACAGTCTAAGTAAGTTTAATAATATAGTGCTACCAGGACTAATGACAATGATTTTCTATATTGGTTAAAAAGAATTTTGGATTAGCAGAACATTTCTATACATTTTTATAAAGTACTTCTTTAATTATACCTTACACAATTGTTGTGATGGTGAAAAATAGGAGAGTGAAGTGTTATTTATGGTCACTCACTGAGGTCTTGGATGAAAGGCAGAATACAAATTTCATAAATTTCATAAATTTCTTTAGAAGTAAGGCAACTTCAAAGTGCTGGTGATCATAACTTGCTCCACTGATTTTAGTGGACTCACTGTTTCAAGCATGAGCTTCAGTCCAATAAAAGAACCCTTCCATCAGTTCATAGTTCCCCAGAAAGTGAATCTAAGATTTATTCTAGATGTGAAGTAATGGGCATTTCCCTGTTTTGCTCAGGGAATGCAATCGTGATGCGTGTATGGGAGTGTCTAAATATCACATTACAGGTATAATTTTGCTGGGTAATCTTACCTACGTATGTCTCTTTGTCTAATCAAACTTGCCGCTCAGCCACAAATGGTCCTCAGTTTTTTCCACAGCCACCAGCATAAATGCTGCAGCCAGAAGATTCAGAACTACAGAAAGATGTTTTTGTAGGTTGCATGTGTGCAGTCTGGGTGTACTCATTTTGTCCTTCTCATGTTATCACAATTTTTGAGAGCACTGAAAATTTAGAATTGTATTTTCCATGGGCAATCCTTGCAGCCCATGTGTATAAAATGAAACAGCAGGGGAATGACTTCAAAATGTTTAAAATGGAGAAGTGTCTCATCAGAAACTTCTAAAGTCTTATTTGGGATATCACCAGATTCTAAACAATGTACTTTTTGCCAGGACCTCTAAAAATAATTTTTAACAAATCAGAAAAAAATATGCCAATACTTCTAAATGAGGCCCACTAGTTGTGAAAAAAAAAAAATCCAAAGCAAAGCTGATGATGCCTAGAAATAGAGCAAGCCATTGCCACCAAATATAATTTGAATACTTCAGAAAAGAGATGGTTATCTAAATGTGAACTACATTCCCTATGAAGTTAAGATAATGGCCTCTCCTGCCCTATGAACTTTTTCAAAATACCAACACTACTTAAAAAAATAAGCAAAATGTATTCAGTATTCCTACCTAGTATCTAGATTTCTAAAAAGTCAATTGATAATAGAGAAACATCATGTGACTGACAGAAAGAAAATATGCCCTTTCTTGCCAATGGTCATTCCAATCTTTACAACTGGAATAATGAACTAAAGAAGATAATACGGCAGGAGAAGATGTGGACTGTTTTGAAACCTGGTGTGTTGTGCAGTAACAGTCATGGCTTGGACAAAGACAGAGGGTGGTTTTAATAGAAAAGACTGGTTTATCTTTGATGTCTCTTCAGGCTCTTCATTGAAGAATAACCGCCATACCCTCTTCCAAAGTGTGGGTTGGTGTTTGACGATAACAAGTGGAACAATATTTTCTTCCCTTCTGTTGAATTTTCTCATTATTTGTATAATGGATAAATAGCAGCAGTAGTAGAGAAAAAGATGGCATCAAAGCAGCAATGAGGGAAACTAGAGGGGTTGAAGAAGCATTCTCCTCCAGAGCTCCTAAAATGTTTGAAAATCCATGTCCCTGATGGACACCTTTGAGAGAAAAGTGGTCCTGATGCAGCCAGGGGAAGCCTTGCTATGTTCTTCATCCTGCCAAAGATGACTCTTTTAAATTACTTTTTATTGTCTTCCTGGCATTTCAGAACACACATGGCCACTCTCCTGTTTTGGCAGACAGTAAGAACTAAGAACTTTCTTTGTGTACAGAAGATAATAGGATTTCCTTATCCCAATAGTAAATCAGCTTTCCCAATAGATTTTTGTAAGTCCTTGACTTAACAGGGCACATTTCATAGCCTTAATGTTTGCCTGAAATCTTGGATGAACATTGAGCTACATCTGAAGCATTCTTTCAACCTACTCTACAACCACCGTGCTTGGAAGCACAGTTGGGTAACACAAATGTTGTCAAACTCTAATTCTCATAAGTCCAAGATAGCACGGTCATAGGAAAGACTGATGGCAGCTAGAGTCCAACAATACCTGAAGGGTAACATGTTACTCACTGTGGGATTTAAATATAAGCTTACTGAGGAATCTGAACAACTTTACCAGGTCATCTTTGGGTAAATGACTCTTTTGGGACTGGCTGTCATTGCTTAGAGCAGCCACTTTGTCAATACTATATACATCCTCTCTCATGGTATGTGGAAGAGTGCTCACAAGATTCTATGAATCCAATAAATAAATTCTCCAAATTCCAAGTGTGTCATCATCTCATGAAGATTGCTTATCATTACAATGAAGGACCGGTCATTCCACTCCTTTGCTCCATTGTTAATAGCAGAAATGCTGGGGAATCTACTCCAGCAATATCTGCAGAGCCATAGATCGGTCCCTCCAGTTTATGATGGTAGAAGCCCAAAATGAGAGTTATTAACCACATCTCAGCAATCTGCCCAGCCCCCAAAGGAGCTCCTTGACCAATCTTCTGTTTTATATTCTCTCCATATTTACATGGGGATCCGCCTATTCCTGACGTGGCAAAGATCTAGGTTGCTTTTAATAGGACTAACTTCTTGCATAATTGGAGCAAGATTTCTTAATGATATTAAGGGATCCGGGACTGTATCCTTATTCTGGATAGAGAGACATTTCATTAACGGCTTCGAAGCCGTGAAATCCCTCGAATGAGATTTAGTAAGAGAAAGGAGATTCTACACCGGAGAGGAAGATACTCAGTGAAAAATTTTTCAGACGCAAGAAGAGGAGATGGATTCTAAATAGCAAATCCGTAACTTGAGTAGGAAGAACAAAATCCTCTGCATTTGGGTAACGAATGAAAAACGCTTGGAGTTGAAGACCTTCGCTCTCGTCCTGAACGTAGCTTTCTGAGGGACCGGAGGCTTTAACAGTTTAGAAATGGGTTGAGCGATTGTTGAATCGACTCCAACCTTTCTCCGTCAATATAAGGAGTTATCTTTCAGTAAGAGCTAGATAGGCTCCTTTTTAAACTGAGAAGGATTTATTTTTTCACCCATCTCCGAGAGTATCCAGACTTTCTCTTACTTACAAACATCCCTTTCTCTGTTCCCTAGTTTCCCAAGAACCATCATGAACACATCTGCACGTACCGTGTTGGTGGATCTTCGTTGCCTCTCCCAGAGATTCGTGTGAATGGATAAGGTGGCTTCAACCAAACGGGGCGAATTCTGCTACGCGGAAACTTTTTATATCTTTCACGCAACGCTACTACTTAACTCTTCCCCTAATTTTCTTTCCTCCACTTCAAGCTGATTGGCAGATTGTAACTCCTCAGCAGTTCTGATTGGCTGTGAAGGGTGATAAGGTTTGTCCAATAAGAGGTGTGTGTGTCTGTGTGTTTTGCTTGCTTGCCTACTTCCCTCCCCTTCTCTCTATGATATGATAGTTAGGTGCACAAACAACTGCCCTATGTACTCAAGTGCAAGACATTTTGCAACGCCTGCAATATGATGAAAGAAGCAAGGTTTTGCAAAGGGGAAAATAGCCAGAAAGTTATTTCTACGAAGGGCTGCTTCTGCTAACTTCAGACTCTAGGACCTGGCAAGGCAGGGGCTTGAAATGTCTTGTACGTGGTCAGGATGTGGAACAGGCGCAGGTGTTACCTGTTCAGTTTTCCCAGCGGTGCTAAGCTGCATGACACGTTTATTTGGATTGTATTCATTTATTCTCAATTTGCATAGAAATATTATGCAAAATATTGTTTTCTTTAGGGGGCTTGGAAAATTCCTTATTAATAATTATGCAGAAATGGCCAACCTCAGAACCAAGTCTCAAAGGCCATTCAAAATTGAATTCAGTAGGAATTTATTCATAGGGAGGATTGCAGTCCCTGAGTGTGTGTGTATGTGCCTTCCAGACAACATTGGCACTGGGCAACTACCTGGACAAGCTCCCTTTGGTTTTCTTGGCAAGTTTTTGGAAGTGGTTTACCATTGCCTGCTTCTTAGGACTGAGAGAGGGGGACTGGCCCAAGGTTACCCAGCTGACTTCATGCCTAAGGTGGGAATAGAACTCATGGTCTTCTCTTTCTAGCCTGGTGTCTTCACCATTACATCAAATTGGCTCTCTTAATCCCTTAAAATCAGCAGAATTCCTATGTAGACTCTGTGAATTGGTCTAGGTTACAACTTGGACAGCTCAAACTCTGTTTAACTCACCAGGTTGGAAAGCAGCATCAGAGGACATAGAGCAGACATGTCACACACAAGGCCCGGGGACTGGATGCGGCCCGCAAAGTGGTTTCATGTGGCCTGCGAAGCCATCCTGGAAACAGTGAGGGAACGGCCCATGCTGCCTTGGCCCTGGCCCAGGCCGGCCGGGAGCCAATGTACAATTTTGTGGTGGCCATCTATGCTGAAACACAGTCTTAGCTCCACAAGGCTGTCTAGAAACAGCGAGAAACCAGTCCCTACCGTGTCGGCACGCCCCCTGGGTGCATGTTGGGGAGGTGTCATCCTTTGTGAGGAATGAAGAAATGGACCATGCCTTGGTGCTTGCCCCAGTCCCCCCCTCTTCTGCCAGAGACCCTCAGATTTGTCCCACTCCTGCCCAGACCCCCACAGGCACCCTTGACGTAAATGATGTATTGCTGGCCATGCCCACCCAGTAGGCCGCACCCACCCTGGCCACATACCCCACCCCAGAGGGCAACCGCAATGCTGAGGTGGCCCTCAATGAAATTGAGTTTGACACCCCTGACATAGAGACTTGGGGATGTGTTTAGCGATGAAAAGCCTTTAGAAAAAAAGGCAGCAACCCTTGCAGCAAAGTTCTTTTACTGGACTAAGTTGCCATCTGCCATCTGTTGTAGAGCAGTATATGAATTCAGGGGTCATGACAATGTCTGGGGTTATTTGCGATTATTTTATACACTGGTTTATTATTAATGACTGTGTTCACACATCACCCTAAATCCTAATGTTGTTTGTTGGAGTGATGTGAGAAATCAGAGCTTTTCCTCACTTGCATCCATGTTCCAGAATAGCCCAACTGACAGGTCACAGGAGTGGCTGCATTGAGTAGGAATATTAGTAGAGGTCACTCATTTTGCTCTGTACCTCTTAACCTGTTACCTGTCAAGTAAACCTGAATGACAAGTTACAGGCATGTTGACCACTTGTAACTTTCGGAGAGTACCTCCCCCCTTTTTCTATTAGTTAGGCAATTTTGTAGGTGACTAAACCCACCATTCTAATAATTCATCTTAATTCATCCAACCCTATGTTAAAGAATGGTGGTGGTTACTTCTCTTGTAAGAAAACTGGGTAGGAGGAGAAACCAAGCCAAGGAAATCCACCAATCCCTTTCCTTAACTTGGTTCATACAGTAATAAGTACATAAACATCAGTTGCCATTTTCATTGCTGTGGCAGACCTGGAATTGACAATGGGAACAACGTAATTTATGCCAGCATCCTTTTCTGTTAATCAAGAAGTAATGGAGAGTACTTGAATTTGGCTATAAGAAAAGCTCCCATCCATTGTTTGCAAGCTATGGCCTTAATAACAGCACATAACTTTGTTAATGATGGTCTATTTGCTAAACAATGGTTGAGTGGTGAATCTTGTGTTTGAAATCTGGCTGCATTTGTGAGAAAAATGAGCATTTTAGGAAGTCAGTAGAAATTCAGATGAGTTTTTATAAGCTATGTTTTGCTAATTTGGGTAGTTTGAGTGGAATAGTTTGGAGGGCCTCCCTCATTCAGGAAAGTGTGTTTGTTTCTGCAGTTAAGATTGGGTTAAAGAGCACTATTCTTAACAGATTTCATGTGTATAGGTTTGTAGAAAGAAAAATCTTCATCAGGGTCCAGTCCAAGCTGGGAATAAACAAAATGGAGACTGTTTTAGAAAGAAGGTTGGAGTTTATTGAAGAGCAGAGCCAGACAAAAGCATGGCACTGGGAAAGCTGACCACATGTAGCAGGGAATGGTGAGTTTTTATACTTTCTGGGGCTCTTGAGATTGTTTCCTGTTCCTGTTTGAGGCTTTGTATTTCCTGTTTCATGTACTTTGATCTGGGTTTGAGTGTGCCCTTTTGGTATTGGTGGGTTAATCCTATTATGTCCCCAAAGGTCATATTTTTGGGGTTTGAGTGAAGTACTGTATGTAGATTTTAGAGGTCTTTGTCTTCCTAATCTCATAGCTTCTAGCTTCCTGGACCCAACCTTCCTGAATGGATTATTGAATTTGCATTTTTAAAAGCTGGCCTCTGCCTAGTTTCTGCTTGGTGCTATTAAGAAAACTGGCTTGTTTTTTTGCCTTTAAGATCTTCTCCATTATTCCTTTGGATAGATTCTGCTTTTTTTAATATTTCCCAAAATATTTCTTTTTCTGGATTCTTCCCACAGCTTTAAGCATATCATTCATGAGCCTTGGTGGTGCTGTGGTTAGAATGCAGTACTGCAGGATACTTCTGCTGACTGCCAGCTGTTTGATTCTCACCGGCTGAAGGATGACTCAGTCTTTGATCCTTCCGAAATTGGTAAAACCAGGACTCAAATTGTTGGGGGAAATAAACTCTGTAAACCACTTAGAGAGGGCTGTAAAGCACTATGAAGTGGTATATAAGTCTAAGTGCTATTGTATCCATTCCTCAAAGTCGCTCTAACAATTGCCCGGTTTTACCTTCAGATTTTCTTATCTCAGTGATGCTCTGCTCATGCTGTTATTTAAAATATTGGCAATCTTATTGTGGCTTTTTATGATTGTGCATATTTGACTGCATGTTAAAAAGGGTATGTCACACAGCTATACTGTGTCCTGGGGAAAATGCAGTTCTGATGCAGTACAGAGAAAAGTTTTTTGAATGGATTTACTACATTCATTGCATGAAGGATAGCTGGGGTCTGGATCTGCAAAACCTCTCTGTGATCTACCTGATTAGTTGCCCTGAATGTTGAAAGCTCAAGAATTTTGTTAAACCAACATTGTCCCAATTTTAATCTCTTGATGGCCTTGATCATTAGCCTGTTCTTTCTCTGAGAGGTGCAATGTTTGCTAAGCCACTGGATTCTTTCTCCACACAGTTCAAAAGACAAACAAGCAGAAAATTTAGCCACCAGATGCAGTAAGAGAGCCTGAAGTTTTGGTCAGTAAGATGCCTTCATTAAGCCTAACTGTTGCCACAAGATTTCCTTCTTGCCTACTAATAGCAATAATACTTAAGACTTATATACCACTTTATAATGCTTTACAGCACTTTCTAAGCAGGTTACAGAATCAGCATGTTGCCCCCAGCAATCTGGGACTTTATTTTACTGACCTCGAAAGAATGGAAGGCTAAGTCAACCTTGAGCTGGTGAGAATCGAACTCCTGGCAGTGAACACTGAATTAGCCTGCAATACTGCATTCTAGCCACTGCACCACCACAGCTCTCTAAAAGTTGCACAATGGAGAACATTCCCCTCTTGATTTGATCACCTCCTCTTATAACACAGTTAATAATTCAGTTTTAGTTGAGCCTGACATTTGTCTTATGTATCTATCTAGACCAGAAATCCTCAATCTTTTCTTTTTGCTCATGACTGCCCCTCATCCTCATGTACCTTTATGACCCCCCTCATAGGTGCTTTTAGCTGGAAGTAATTTATCATTTCCACTATTTATTAATCTAAACAGTATCATATAAGATTGTGGCATCACAGAAACGTGGCATGGGAAATATATGGTCATGTTGAGAACCACCAATCTGGACTGATTGTGCTCCCTGTGTGGGATTATGAATTCCTGGGATCAGGAATCTAGAAAAGAATATTTTCATTCTTGTCCTTAGTTTGATTTAGTGTTAAAAAGCTGGAAAAGTGGAGTATTTATTTATCTATCTAGGGCAGGTAGCATTAAATATTTCATAAAGAATCTCAGAATTCTAAGACTTTTCTGGAATTGGTGCATTGAGAAATGTGACAGCCCCCCCCCCATGCTTGTGAACTGATTTACTGCAATCCTGCAGGAATGAGAAATCATAGTAAGAATTTGTCCAAACGGGGGAAAACAGTTTTATTTTAGGTCACCTTCATGCAAGGTCTTTGCATCACTCCCAAATGGTTGCCACATCTCTGTGACTCTATGCTATTGCTTCTGTCAACTGGGTCACAGCGTTAATCTCCAATAGCAGTTGAAGTTATTGTATTGCTATTGAGAAATGTTGACATTCTGGAGAGCTGGTCAGAAAGCTTATTAATGGAAACTCCATTTGATGCATATAGTTTGGCAAGGAGTCATTCCTACTTTAGTTTTGCACCGTTCTTGCAATCACAATAATTTTGAAAGCATTATCACGTTTCCACAATAATGCTGTTATGGTACCATGCAAGCCTCGCTCTTTTGTATTTGTGTTGCAAAAGCACATTTCATCAGTTGCCCCGCCACTCCTCGCCCAAGATAGCTATATTCAAAAATGAGTTTGAATCAAATAGTTGTAAAGCATCAATATGCTCATTTAAAAAAAGGACTTACATTTATGTAAGTTTGTGTTTTTTGAGCTGCTGCATTGGATCTTGTACTTCAAGAGCTGCTTGTGGGCATGGCCGTAATTCAATGGCGGAGAACATACTGAGGATACAAATAATTCCAGAATCAGTTCCGGGCAGCTACAGACAGAGTCTTGAAGAAAACCTCTGAATCTAATTTCCTGTTGGTTACAGCCTGACATTGATTACAGCTCCTGCAGGTATATTGCACAAATCCACAGCACAATGGCAGTGCTCGTATGGGGGAGGAAAGCACATGTTTCAGAAACCTTCTAGCACAGATAGAGATGTAATTCTTTGAAGCAATCAGGGTAGCTCATGTGTAATCTAGTCAACTTTGCAACTGCCTAGAATTTAGGCTACAGGTACAATCTACACACTGGTATCTAATTCTGACTCAAGGATGTCTCGCCAATCATTCTTGAAGAACACTACACCACATGACACAACCTTCCATTCATCCCGATCCCAAAGCACAAAGCTGAACCAAAACTGAGGTAGTGCACTGTATTTTCTCCCAATTAATCCCTTGCTATTTGCATAGTTTGTGGTACTTTAGCACTAAATGAGCTGATCATCCAGTAGAGGGTGGGATCTTCCCAGCTTCTGTTGACTGCTTTCTGTCTGTATTGCCGAGGGTGGCATACACTATCATTAGCAAAGATGCCCTGCCAAGAATACTGTCAGCCTCTTCCTATGCCAAGGGAGATTCCTACTAAATATGCTGCTGGTCAGTCCCTACCCATTTTCTGTGTCCTGGGTGTGTAGGGGTGACTTGACAGGTTGTGTCCTTTTTCTGTCCAAAGTGCCTTGCCTCTCAACCTTTATCCACTTCAATATGTAGTGATTAATAGGCAGGGTGCTCGGGAGCAAAGCCTTGGCAAAAACTCATGAGGGTCAAACAATCAACAACTAAAAAACTTCCATTATTAAATAACTAATACAGAGTCATTGTATTAGTGAGATGGGTGGCATAGAAATTCAATCAATCAATAAACAAACAACTACATAGATTCTGATCAGGGATATTACTTAGCCATGCTGTGTAATACTAAAGAGTAGAGTAGAGTAGAGTAGAGTAGAATACAGTAGAGTAGAATGGAATAGGAATAGAACAGAATAATAAGAGTTGGAAGGGACCTTGGAGGTCTTCTAGTCCAACCTCCTGCTCAGGCAGGAAACTCTCTACCATTTCAGACAAATGGCTATCTCTTCTTAAAAACTTCCATTGTTAAAACATTCACAACTTCTGGAGGCAAGTTGTTCCACTGATTAATTGTTCTAACTGTCAGGAAATTTCTCCTTAGTTCTAGGTTGCTTCTCTCCTTGATAAGTTTCCATCCATTGCTTCTTGTCCTGCCTTCAGGTGCTTTGGAGAATAGCTTGACTCCCTCTTTGTAGCAACCCAAGATATTGGAACACTGCTATCGTGTCACCCCTAGTCCTTTTCATTAAACCAGACATACTCAATTCTAGCTACCATTCTTTGTTTTAGCTTCAAGTCCCCTGATCATCTTTGTTGCTTTTCTCTACACTCTTCCTAGATTCTCAACATTTTTTTTACATTGTGGTGACCAAAACTGGATGCAGTATTCCAAGTGTGGCCTTACCAAGGCAATGTAAAGTGGTATTAACACTTCACGTGACCTTGATTCTATCCCTCTGTTAATGCAGCCTAGCATTGTGTTGGCAGTTACTACTATTGACTAGATTCCCCCAAAGATATTTTTGGAGCATGAATTGTTTTTGTTCTACATGGATGCTCCTAGAAACCCCCGCCTATGATCATTTGATCTTCATTTTCTAAACTGAAGGCACTGCAATAGTCAGAACATTGGAATAATACAGCAACTGTTCCTAGACCCCTATATGGAGGACAGTTTATTATTTATTTTTTTAATTCATTAGTTGAATTCTCATGAAAATAAATATATATTTCTAGGTTCAAGTCCCCCCCCCCCAAGTAGGCTGGAAAAAGCATTGCCCTTCTCACAGATTCCCAGAGTTAGAGAAGGAGGAAGAAGAGGAGGAAGAAAAGGATGAAAATGCTTCTCTATAAAGGTATTTATGTATCATCTAAATAAGGCACTTGTGTTTTTAAATAAGCCCATTGACAAGGAACAGTATGAGTAATACGTGAAGTAGGAGGTAGCAAATGCAGAAGAAATGAAGAAAAATGAGAATGTTACATTTCCTTTAGAATGGTTTTGAATAGTGTGCATTTGATTTTTAAACATTACCATCGGTACATTTCAAAAGAAAGCAAGGGATCGGGATGGGCAGCTGTAGGAAATATTTCCAGGGCTTCCTGTCTTGGGAAAACAAAATGGAAAAGAAATGGTTAAGAAACCGGTAAGACAAAAATTAGCTGGCAATTGACAGGGCAATTCTAATTCAGAGATGGAGGACTTTAGGATTAGATTTTTCTGGTTATAGGCTGATACCAGAAATCTGTTAATGGAGTGATCGGAGCCTTTGGCTAAGATATATCAGCAGGGTAACTAATATAGGGGACAAGAATAGATAGGGCAAGGAAGAGCCACACTTTAGCACAACCAAACCTTCTGCAGCTACAGTTACATCCACAATATTAGCATCATTAGACTTTTCACTGAATCTAATGGGCTTTTTCATTTTCTCAGCCCTGCCAACTCTGACATAACTCAGATTTAGAATGTCGCACAATTCAGCTACCTCCAGCCGTTTTGGACGCTTCAAATTGAGCGTCCTTACCTGGTTCCTAACTTAAAAGTCTCTACATGCAAAGGAGAGATTGCCATTTGCAAGGGCTCTTCAAGATACTCAGGAAATATACGCACAAAAGCACCCTTAAATGGCTCAGGCAGAAGTGGCAGAGATGAAAGATTTGAAACAAGAAAACAGTAAATATTAAGACAATCACAGCCCTAACACCTTCACCGAAAATGATCATTTGTCTTTGAATGTAGACCAGTCTTTCCCAAGCTGGCATCCTTTCGATCTGTTAGGACTGCAAGCCTCCAGAAGACCGAAGGGGCAGTGTTAGCAATTTTGCAGCCAACGTATCTCAAAGGCATCAGCTTATGGGAAAGAACCACTTAAAATAATTTATAAGTTGATACAGAAAATTTAAAGCACCATCTCTGGTATTTCTACCAAACTTAGAAACTCTTCTTCATTATCTGTAAGATAGAGATCAGCGCTAACTTTCACAACCTGGAATTCGTAGCCAGCACTACTACCAGCTACATTGGCGGGGTTTTTTGGAATTGCTACCTCACAATGGAAGGGCATTGTGTGGGGAATGCTGATTTAAGAGCTATTTTATATATATATACCCGGCTTGCAACTGGGGATGACTTAGCTCAGCAAAACTCAGTAAGTATCTTGTGTCGAGCTTTTGCTCGTCTGGTTCAACCCTTGGGAAATACTGAGAAAGTCAAAGCAGCTCTGGGTTTTCATTCATCCTGAGAGTTGAAAACATCCCCACATGTCTCACCAGGTTGGGCTCAACCGCAAATGCGTGCTCGCCCTTGGTACGCAGCAGTGAATAAAGTGCAGTATCTTTGGCAAAACCTAGGCGACACTGAACTTCTTTCATGTAGCCCAACACACGGTGTGCTGAGGGGGCAGAGAACACCATGGCCGGAGTGCAGCATTCGGTCACAGGCACAACGTTGTAGAAGGAGGGCGCCAGGCGTCGAAGCTCCAAAAGGTAGTGGCGGCCAACCAGCTCTACTAGCAGCATGCTGTATAGGGCGAAAAACAACATAATGGACCAACTAAGGCTGGAGCGGCTGGATGCCCAGGAGTAGACAAAGCCTAAGAAGGATCCTGAAAACAGGCCTAATCCCAGCCATTCCAGGATCCTCATGGGTTCTGGATTGATGTAATGTTGAAGTCTCTCTGGATGGTACAGTTTGATATAAAGGGCATCTCGGAGGTGGGGCTTTGAGAATCGTGCCTGTAACAAGTGATGGAGGACGGGAAAGAATTCCTCTTCTGGTAGGGTATCATCTTCCACCAGCAGGACATACTCTGGTTTATATAGCTGAAGTGATTTCTCAAGGCAGTAGGTGTAATCTTGCTTCTCCTTCTCAAAACGGTTTGGAAAGAGGTCCAAATTTTCCTGACCACTGTAGTGGTTCACCACAGCAAAGAAAGTGGCAAGCAGCTTAGCATCCCGGTGGTTGCTGGGATCTGTTTCCACATTACAGAGTAAGAGCTGGTGGTGCTGGCAAGGAGGGCCACATTCCCGGAGCAGGCGGTGGAAGCGGGCTGCTACCTGAAGGACATAGTGGAATTCCGGGTGCCTTTGAACAGTAACGATGGCAATCAGCAACCATGGCTGCAAGGCCTCTTTGGTCAACTTCTCCGAAGTATTCTGCAGTCGCTCAAAGTAACGGAGAGCACTCAAACCTTCCTCTTGGCTCTGCTTTAAAAAATGTTGGGTCATCGAGTTCAGGTACCAACCGCGCATGTAGAAATAAGAATGCAGGAGCTCTCGGCAAGTGAATGGAGCGATCACGCCAAATGTCACAACACTCAAGACCAGGAATTGCAGGAATGGGCTGGACCAACGGCACAGTCGGCCCCAAGGCAGCAATCTGAGTGAGAACATGGCTGACACATCTGCAGTTCGAGAGCCCTTTGTTTTTTTGCTGCATGCCATTTGGTCAGCCTCTTGCTTCATGCAGCAGACTGTCTATACTAAGGTCATGATTGGATCTAATTCTGTAAAGAGTAAAGAAAAAAAATGGAGAAGTAGTGAAGTAGTATTTGTACTGATGAAGAAGTAGTTGTACTAAAAGCTTTCATTTAAACAATATTTTGCATGATTCCTATTCCCTCTTAGAAGTTCATTTTAAACAATGAGTACCACCTGACTGGTTCATACCCAATTGATCTGTTGCAGATTTAATAAGCAGATTCACATGTCATTAAATAAAAATCAAGGTCGATACTATTCCTCCTTCTCCTCTTAATTTGGCTTTAGAATCTCTTGCATTATACTAAAATCCTTAATGGATTTGCACTAAGAGACCACAGCGCACAAGGCCCTGCTATAAGCAGATGATATATTTCGCTCATTGAGCAGACATTTCTATTCCTAAACTCACTTCATGAGTTTGGTTTTCCTATCTGATTATTCTGTTAATTGGATAAATTATATTAGATGTCACTGGGGCAGTGATTTTGCCACATATGTGTGGAATGGAATTTTTACATTGTACTTGACTCCTTTGTGTAAGTAAGTATTTACAGGAAACTTTCTCAATTAGTAAATGTAAAATAAATCCATTGTTTTCATGAAAAATTCCATACATTTGTGATTAATATGAATTAATTCTAAGGGGCTTGATTCTTTGAGAGGCCTTTCAATACTTCTTTCTTACATTATTTTTTACAGGACACTAAATAAATTACTCTAATGAGGTTATGCTGTGAGATTTTCGTTGTATAAATTACAATTACTTCTTGGCAATTTAACTTCCCCGCTGTCAGGTTTATCCAAAGGCATTTATTCTAGATTTCTCACCATTTATAGTTAGGAACTTTAATACTATGCTCCTTTTTGACTCATATTGAGATTTATTGTTAAACTCAATTTAAATCCTGTCAAGTATGAGAATATCTCTTTGTACCAGGTTCACATTCAATATTTATATATCAAATAATTTAAATTTTATATAGAATGTACATACTGAAAACGTTGGGTCACAAATATATATCTTGATTCTTTTACATATACAAGGCTCAAATAGTGGATAATTCTATTTTATAAGTAAACTAGGCCTCTCATAATATTATTACTTTGAATCAATTAGGAAGCCAAAGGCCATCACAAAAGTTTGTCCTGTAACTTAGCACAAGTTAAATAGCCTTGGACAGAAAACCCACTATCCACATTAATGAGTTATTTGTATAAGGCAACATAAAAAGGGGAAATTAATGAGGTGTAAAACAAGGACAAGAGGAAAGATCTGTGGGAGAAGAGGGTATATATTTTCAAGGAAATGTAAATGATTAGAGAAGAATAACTTAACATGAAAAACACATGCGATGCCTATAGTAGTAATAAAGTTTGCAAAGAACAAGAAAGAATGAAACAAGTTGTTTTTTGGTTTCTAGGGATTAAAAGCCAGGCGGAAACCAATATTCCAGAACAGAAAAATATTTTCCTGAGAGGATTATTATTTGCATTTTGAATCTGTGTTTTCACCATACTACATTTGAGCAATTATAACCATTGCTTCTTTATTTTGGTTTCACTGTATATACTTTGTTAAAAAAAAGAGTCAATTTTATTTTAAACCTTGGTTCAGTTAAACATTCCATTGGCAGGGAAGACATATGCATTTAATTTCCTTTCGACTGGATCACAGAAGAGAAATAGTGTTTGTTCCAACATTGTTAAATTTCAAAGTAATATTTTTCAATAATTTTACCAACAGCAAGTTACTGAATCCTAAAACAACTAAATGTATTTCGTTCACTTTATTTTGGCTGGAAAATCCAAGAACAGCAATCCCGATATATTTGATACAAGCTTCAGTGGAGAAAACTAAGGATAGAAGATAATTAGCGTACCTAGGCCAGATTGTGTTATGATCCAAAATTAATTTTAAGAATGGCCATTACTAATAATGCAGTTATGTAAAATCTTCCGGTTTCATTTCCCTCTAACCTCCCTATAATGATTAAAGTATCACACTATATTCTTATTTTAACAATGATTCAAACATTACCTAAACCAGGGGTCTTCAAACTTGGCCCTTTTATGAGTTGTGGACTTCAACTTCCAGAATTCCACAGCCAGCATGAATCACAAATAAACCTACCATATCTTCTTCATACTGTGGGAACTTAATTCACCTGTTTGTTTTATAGGTGCTGCCTGAACCCAGAATACTGAGCTGAGAAAAGCTTAGTATACCATGTCACATGAATGCATCATAAGTTTCAAACAGTTTGAAAATGATACGCCACAAAAATTTTCCATCTTTGGCCCACCATCTTTAATAGCATCTATTTATTTTAAAACTTTTAAAAACTGCGCTCAGAGAAAGAATGGAGTCTCACTCTTTACATGCTCATGTTTTATTCTTTCTCTAAGGTCTTCAATTTAAGGGAAAAAAAATACATTGCCTTTCTATTCTCTCAAGGGCTGGCAAACTTTGTGGCTGATTAGTGTAAAACTGTGCAAGGGAAATGTGGGATTAAGAAGAAATGCAGATAACTTCCAGGCTATAAAAATTAATTGATTAGGTGAAAATGTGCAGATTAGAAAAAGTGAGGTTGTTTGAGGAAAGAATATATACTCAAAAGGGGAAAAATGAAAGAATATGAAACCAATGTTTTCTGGAGAGGAAATTAATTCTTCCCAATGCTAATTTGCCCAAAGCAGTGGAAATGCATCTACTTTTGTTTTGAAGACATTTGGTCTCCCAAAGAAAAGACAAAACAGACACGGGTATGTGCTCTTTCCAAACAGTTTTCCAGATGTTATGCCTTTAAAAAGTGCTCTGGTAATGCCAGTAAGAACTTAAATGAGCCATCATTGTGAATAAATTTGCCCTTATTTTTGTCCCTGTATAGGTAGTCCTTGATTTCTGACCACAACTGAGCTGAAAATTTCTATTGCTAAATATTAGAGATATTTGAGTTTTGCCCCATTTTACGACCTTTCTTGCCACAGTTGTTAAGTGAATCACTGCAGTTGTTAAGTCAGTAACACGGTTGTTAAATGAATCTGGCTTCCCCACTGACTTTGCTTGTCAGAAGGTTGCAAAAGGCAATCACAAGACCCCCCAGGACACCGTAACCATCATAAACATGAACCTGTTGCCAAGCGTCTAAATTTTGATCATGGCCTTGGGGATGCTGCAATATAAGTGTAAAAAATTGTCATAAATCACTTTTTTCAGTGCCGTTGCAACTTCAAACAGTCAGTAAAGGAACTGTTGTAAGTTTAGGACCATCTGTATTTAGGAAAGTAAGGGAAAGGAATTTTTGTCTTAAGTGCATAATCTCTTTCACCTATTGAAAGAAAAAAAAAAGATTTATGCAAATGAACCACCCTCTACACATCTCTCTCACCAAAGCATGTAATAACTGATATAACACATGTATCTACAACTGGTGTCAACGAAACCTCATTTCCTTGCATCTCCTACACTGCTAATGTTACCTAGTATGGTAATGAAATCTCTACAACCCCCAAATCTGGGGCAGCTGAAACATGTAAAGCACTATGAAGCGGTATATAAGTCTAAGTGCTATTGCCGGTACCTACCTTTGGAAGGATGGGCGTATCCTATACATGCACCTAGCAATCAAATTGTATCTGTTCAACATCAGAGACCGTTGAAAAGGATCTTTGGCTTCATCTTTTTGGTCTGCGGCCCTTTGAGGATCCCCGTTTCCAGCTTTGGGAAGATTTCCCAGGGCGACCTCCTCCTACCTTTGCTACGCTTACCTGGACATAGAGAGCACGATGTACACCATCACCAAACCGCCGAGAAGGAAGTGGAACCAAAGTCACCTGGCGGGCGTTCCGTGGATAACTTAATTCTTAAGGAGTTCCGGACATCAAAGGGATGCTGGGAGTTGTAGTTTCAAAAGCACCCGCGAAAGGGGATGGTCACCAGCTGCAGAGCTTTGGCCATCGTCGGCAAATCGAGCTCGCCAGGACCTTGCCTCTCTTTTTTAAAATTTAAACAGCATGTATGCTGACTTTAAAAAAAAGCCTTTAATAAAAATTAATAATAGATCCACACAGAAAGTGTAACTTTCGGCTGCAGCAAGAAGCCAGCGAGCTAAATAATTCCAACCGCAGCCGTTGGGATGGCCTTGAATAGTCATTCCCAGAAACTTCGCGCTCCATTCTTTGAGAAGGAGTTCCAACTGGTGGTGTACTCTATTGTGAGCCGTTCAGAACCGCTTGGTAGAAACAGGCGGCATATCAATTTAAGAAAGAAAAAGGGAAGAAAACCAAGAGAAAACTGAACCCGGAATCTGACCACTTTCGCTCAACTCTAAAGATTACGGAGCTATGGGCGGCAGCCATTCTGAGTCAGGGCAAAAGAGGCCGTTCTAAGGAGAGGGAAAAAAAAAACGAAGCGAGGCCGGATTGGTTGCTTGGCGTTTGTCTTCTGCGTAACAGTTTCCTGGGGCAATTGTTGTAGGCCGCAGGCTCTGTGGGGCTGGTGAGCGAATGCGCAGGCAGAGATCGTATCGGCTGTCGGGGAGGCCTTCCTTTTTGGGGGGTGTCGCCCTCCTTCTCTCCTGGGACGGCGCGCAGGGAGGGGGAGGGAACTGAAGAGGCGGGATTCAATGCTGTCGTAAGCCCAGTGGTCTCTTTCTGAGGCTGGGGCTGCCGGGGGAGATGGAGGTGTGTGTGGGGCTGGAGGAACCGCGGACGTTGGATTGCAGACCCAGCGAGCGGTAAACGGCGTCCCGTGGGCGACTGTGGATAGCTTTGGGCACTGTAGGTGTCTCTCGTTAAGACTTCCCCTGAGCACGAGCAAAGTTCTTTTCCGCCTTTCTTTTGAGCAAGCAGCCTCCGTCCTCAGTTGCTTCAAGAGACGCTTAGAAGAGAGCCCCCCCCCAGGATTGTTTTATCGGTTCTTGTTTTTTTTTTATTTCTTGCTTTCCAGGGTGCACACCTCATTGTTGCTGGATTTGTTGGTATTTTGATCCGGCAAACAACGAAGCTCAGAGAGCACCAAGGACTCCATAGTTCAGTCCTGAACTCCAGATATTCTATTTTCATCTAGTTTTCAATAAGCGGAACGGCAAAATTACAAAGACAGCAAGAAAGTGGGACAAGAATTACCAAACGAAACATAATATGACAGGCTTAAGGAACAAGGTTTTGATCCAGGGGTGGGATAATACTTTATTCCATAGCCTGTCACATGTTTGGTTTGGTAACTCTGTCCCTTCTTGCTCTCTTTGTAATTTTGCTGTTCCACTTACTGAAAGCTAGCTGACAATGCAGGTAGTCCTCAACTTACAACAATTCATTTAGTGATTGTTCGAAGTTACAACAGCACTGAAAAAAACGACTTATGACAATTTTTCTGACTTACGACCATTGAGTATCAGTGCTTGTCAACTGACTCACAATTATGATAGTTGCAGTGTTCCATCTTCTGACAAACAAAGTCAATGGGGAAACCAGATTCATTTAACAATCGTGTTACTAATTTAACAACTGCAGAGATTCAATTAGCAAATGTGACAGGAAAAGTCATAAAATGGGGCAAAACTCACTTAACAAATTTCTCACTTAGCAACATAAATTTTGGGCTCAATTGTGGTCATAAGTCAAGGACTTACCTGTAGAATATCTGTAGCTCAGGATTGAACTGTGGAGTCCTTGGTGCTCCTGAGCTTGGTTGTTTGCTTGCAGATGTTTCATTAGCCAACAAGGTAACATGAGTGCCATTAAGTGTGGAGTTTGCTTTCTGTTTATATATAGTAGCTTGCCTTGCCGGTTTTTGGTGGGAGTCTAGTAGGGCAATGAAACATCTGCAAGCTGACAACCAAGCTGAGAGAGCATTAAGGACTCTACAACCAGATGCAGTTCAAATCCCTGTATGCTTCAAAATAATTAAATCAAATGTAAATGTTTTCAGCTCTGATTCCCAGGGGACTGTCAGCAGATCTCACATGGGCAAAAGAGCAGTAAATAGCGAATTAAACGAACAAGCATTTGTGAGATCATTTTGTGGATTTCAAGATGGAAGGAGAAGGTTTTTTTTTCTTTATCGAAAACCAGTGTGGCCTCGGATGCAAAAATTATAACACAAAGAGAGGAGATTTGCATACATTTTGTTTCAAATATAATTTGCTGTCTTGTTTAGTTTTTTTTCCCTGATTGTTGGAAATATGTCTTACTAAGACCAATGAGCAAAATTAAAATTCATACATTTACAATGTTCCTTCTCTTTCTTTCAGGAAAAATAATTGGAGAAGTGGGAATCTCCATTCTATAACTATGTCTGGGATTGGGAACAAACGAGGGGCTGCAGAGACTAACCCATCAGCTCCACCAGAGAAAAAGGCAGGAGTTGAGGACTCAGAGACCACTGTGGAGACTATTAAGCTTGGTGGCGTTTCCTCAACGGTTTGTATCTCGTGTTGGGTTTTACTCTTTCTTTGGAATGCAATATTTTGATTATTGTGCTCTCCTTGACTCTCATAGCCACTGGGATGAGTTCTATTCCAAAGCTGGGTGGATTTGGGTCTAACTCTCATCAAAATGATAAACTTGTTCCTAGGATAGGATGTGGGTGATTAATTATGAGTCCTTATTTCTTTTTCCTTTCATATTAATTTTCTTTATGAATTTTTATAGGAAGGAGGATATTTGAGAAACATTGTGTGATAACCCCTTTGCTGTAGTGTGAAATGTTATGAATCGGATTTTGATATATAGATGCCTAGTGTTTTCCAGATATTTTGGAATTCAGTAGCAAAGGATTGTGGATATTTGTGGTCCAAAAAATGTGGAGGCCATCAGGATGCCTACTGCTGACTTACCACTTCAGACATACATTGAAATGAATAGTTGTTCTTCCCAAACCTAAATCAACATTGTAATCACTATACCATGTTGGCTTTATTTCAGGAAGAACTGGACATTCGCACACTCCAGACTAAGAACCGAAAGCTGGCAGAGATGCTGGACCAACGGCAAGCTATTGAAGATGAGCTGCGAGAGCATATAGAGAAGCTGGAAAAGCGTCAAGCCACGGATGATGCTTCGTTACTGATCATCAACCGCTACTGGAGTCAGGTCTGCATTTTTCCCCTAATGGTCCCATCCCTTCAATTTTACTTGGCGAACTTTCTTATAAATGAAACATACCCTCTTTTCAGTTTGATGAGAACATTCGCATCATTTTAAAACGCTATGACTTGGATCAAGGCCTTGGGGATCTCCTGTCAGAGCGAAAAGCATTGGTGGTACCAGAACCAGAGCCTGATTCAGACAGCAACCAAGAGCGCAAAGATGAGAGGGATCGAGGTAAAGTATTTGATACAGGGTGGTGGATGTTTTACAGATGCTTATGATCTCATGGTAGCATGAAATAATTTTATCTTTTGGATCCAGATTGCATCTAGTTATAATTACTTTCTTGCACTGTTATAATTTAGGAGAAATATTTGAGCCTGCATTCTCCTTTCTGGCTACACTGGCTAGTAGCACTAGTGAGGAAATGGAATCCCAACTACAGGAACGTTTTGAGTCTTCCCGTCGTGCAGTTACACAGATTGTGACAATGTATGATAAACTTCAGGAGAGAGTGGATGTGCTGTCCCAGAAGCTGAACAGTGGAGGTATGGCATTTTCCAGAACTTATGGATATACTATATTACATTTTCAAAACATTTTACTTAGAGAACCTTTCAGGAAAAATGGGCAAATCTGTTGCTAGTCCATTGACTTTACTGCCAATTTGTCAAATAAATAAAGATTTATAGTACTTGATTCTTTTTTTTTTTTTTTATTGAAAATTTTTACATTTTACAAAAACAAATCCCCTTCCCATACCCCCCCCTACCCCACCCCCCCCTTCCCAACCTCCCAAACCCTCCCCTGGACTTCCCAGAGCTGAGTACAGGCTTAATTAAAAAAAAAAAAAAAAAAAACTTAAAACACTTTTAAAACCTAAACAAATTTAAATACAATCATCATTCTATATAAGCTCCCTCCAAAAACACAAATTTAAACATTACTTTCTTTGAATATCTATATCTATAATATAAAATCTAATTTCTCCCTCTTTCTTTATCCTAAAACGAAAAAATAAACATACAAATCTTTGTTATACCATTAAAGCTAAATACTCTTAAAGAACTTAAAGTAAGTACATATTTCCTTCAATCTTCATAATCTTCTCTCCTATCCAAAAAGAAAAAAAAAAAAAACAAAAACTTAAAAAACCTATAAGTCCTAAACAAATCTAAGCACATTTAATTAAACAAATTATTTTGTCTTAAAAATATTAATAATAATATTTAAAAACTAAAAACACTTTTAAATCCTAAACAAATCTAAATACAATCATCACTCTATATAAACTCCCTCCAAAACCACAAATTTTTAAAATTTAAAATATTAGAATCCACTCACTAAAATAAGCAAATTATAATCCCTTCAAAACACAAATTTAAACAATATTATCATTAAAGGTTCAAAACTTAAAACAACAAAGTTAATAAACACATTAAACATTTCAATCTTCACCAATAACTAATTCCATCCGTAAAAAACTACATCCTTATCAATCTCAATTATATTAGTATTATTAATTATTCACATTCCAGTTTTTTCCATTCTCCATTCTTCCATTCTTCCATTTCCCTTCTCCATTCTTGTATCAAACTCGTAAGAAATGCTGCAAGTTCTGCCTTAGGAGACTGCTCCAAAATTCCTGAATCTCCCATCGACTCCGAAGCCAATAAGGGTTCCTTAAATTCCTCCTTGTATTGATCTTTACAATTGTAAGTTGTACAAGTTATCCTCTGCCCGTTCCTCTCTTGTTGATGCCCCTCAGACTGAGATTTCCCAGTTTCCATTTCAGGCAACAATTCCACCCTTAAAGATTGCTCCAAAGACTTTGTAGGTCTAACATCTCCCAGAGATTCAGAAACCACTAAATATGAAACTTCCTTAACCTTCTTCTGTTGCTGCTTTTCTTTGGGATTATATACTGCACA